CCATGGATTCACACAGGAGAGTCTGACACAAAAAGAGAGACAGTACTGACCTCTGACCTCTCCAGAGTGAAACAACAACAACAACTGATATACGATATTATTATTATTATTATTTCAAAATAAAACTGAGGACACATTATTGTTTTCCATTTTCTTTTCTGTGTTTTTTGGGGCTCTTTCTGCTTTTATTTGTTAGGACAGTTGAAGATAAACAGGAAAGGAGGTAGAGAGAGAGACGGGCCGCAGGTTGGGATCGAACCCGCGTCTTTCTGTGGTCTGTTGTCTTATTAAATACTTAAAAAAAGATCATTATTTTATATTTTAAAGAGTTTTTCAATTAAAATCTAAAAGTATTTTTAGTTTTTTTACAAGCTATAACTCTGTTTCCCTGGTAACACCTGACTAATACCTGGACTGCTCCAGCCAATCAGAAGCGAGGATTCACCAGACAATGCTGTAAGTTACTTTAATAACGTTACTTATATTGGGTTAATGACAACAAGTAATCAGATTACATTCTTAAAGTAACCCTCCGGACTCTGAATACCTGATATTTAGATTTATAATATATTTTATATGTTCTCCTGTATGAACTCATTATAAACACATATTGATCAGACTTCAATATGTCCCATTAGTACATGTTCAGTCACCATAGCAACAGGCCTGTAGAGTAAACTTTAATCTGTGTTAACACATTCAAAATAAGCATATTTCAAACTAAAATATAAAATAAACTCCTGTTTTTAACCTGTGACAGAGGGGGAATCACCAGCACATGTGATCCTGATAAAACTTTGATGAAACTTCTGACATCTGTGGTGTTTGTTTTGTTTTACTGCACGCCCTCTGATCGATACATGTGATCGGTACCTGAATCCGGATCGAGGCGGTTCGGACTGATCCACCTCAGCAGAATCTGAGTCCGGAGAATAAAATCCAGTTCTCTGTGTTCTCGGCTCGATGTGGTCCTACATGTTGTCCGGGAAGTGGTGAGTCAGTTCCCATCAGCTGATCCCGCTTTATGATGAAGCTGCCGTCAATTACATCACAGCAACACGCCCTGTTTCCGGTTTCAGAATAAAAGCTGGTTGGGAATTTAGCTCAGCTTTTATTATTTTTCATTGTTGGACAGAAACTTCTTAAAAACCCATTTTATAGACTTCCCTTTATGTAATATATCTATTTTATTTAATTTCTTATTGTTTTTATTTGCATTTTATTTTGAAGGCTTCCACTCTGCTCTTATTGTATTTAGATTTTCTGTATTTTTATATTTATCACGATCATTTAGTCTGTCGATGCACTTTGTAAACTTTCAAAAGGTGCTATATAAGATTATTATTATTATTATATTACAGTAATAATATTACAGTTAACAACCTTACTTTTATTTTCTCCTCCTACTGATCTGAAATCATCCAATCACATCCTTGTTTGATTGATTCATGTTTATAATCGTAGAGGAAACTAGTTTGAAACATTCAGCAGCTAAAAATATTCCATTACTTTGATTATAACAAACAATAATCGTCAATAAGTCTGAATTTTAGATATCAATTTTATGGGGAGCAGCAGAGAAGTAATATAACGAGTAGTGTAACTAATTACTGTTGGCAGGGAGTAATGAGTACTACATGAGTTATAAATAACAGGTTTTTTGATCAGTATTATAATTAAGTTGAGCTTCTTTTCGTGTGTTTTACAACATTTTATAGTTTGATTGCCACATGCCAGCCCCCAGAAGTACTCAGATACTTTAAAAGTGATATCACAGTGAAAATACTCCACTACAAGTCCTGCAGTTAAAACCTTACCTAAGTAAAACAATGTTAGTATTATCAGCAAGTTGTACTTCCCTGTCAGTGTTGTCCTGTTACAGTTTGAATGATGTTGTTGGCTGAATATTACTGCTGGAGTAATGTGATTGTTGTATTTTAACTCCTTTATACACTGTTGAGTATTTTAATCTACAGCAGTGTATCATAGTTTATAAAATCATTACATGTTTGTCCTCGGAGAACCACATTTATCTCTAAAACGTCCAGATACTCCAAGACAGTTTCTAAAATCTTTATTTAGCTTTGGGGGATCTTGCTGCTGTAGATTTAGAGGAATAGTACTGTGAAACCCGACTGTAGTTTATATTGCATTGTGGGTAACCTGTCAAGCAGGAATATTTAACATTATATTTTAGTATAGTAATATTACAATTTTAATAACTAAACATTACAGGTATAATTATTATTAGTATGGCGCAGTGCAGTAGTAATGATAATAGAAACAATTATTAGTAATTATTGCTTTTATTTTGATGTCAAAATCTAATTTTTAAATCTATCTTTGTCGAACTTCACGCAGCTGCAGCCGAGAGGAGGATCCATCCACCTTAATTTCAAATATATTACAAGTACAAAGAATACACAGTACAGGATATAAGATATTCCACGTAGCACAAATCATTCAAACACCAGTAAACGTTTCTGATGAAGTGAATCTTTTTTAATGTTTATCTTTTATGTGGAAATCTAAAAGTCAAAATCATCACAAACATAAACTTTTTCTTTCTCATCGTTCTCAGTGCAGATTTTATAGCAAATTAATTAAATTATGCAATCTCCTTGTTTTAATGTTCTGCAAACAAAGAGAGATCTCTGGGGATTCTTAAAATATTCCTCTGAAGAAGTCGAGGGATTCTCAAGAGAGGCGAGAAATTTCCTGTAAACTGTTAAAAGAAATCCCTTACAGCCTTTGGTAACACAATCAAGAACCCAAAATGTCACTCGCTTTCCTTTGAATCCCATCAAGAAACTACAGAAGACCCTCCAGGATCCCTGTCGAACACCTAGTAGCACTCACCAGCTCATCGTATGCCTGTAAAATACCGTAGGAGTCCGTTGAGAACACCTTCTGAAATCAGGGACCCTAGAAGAGGAGCAACCATTAAAAAACCAACCAAGAACTACTAATAGTCCCTCCGAGTTAAGAATATCTGATGTCCCTTAGAAGTCCTCAAAAACCCGTCAAACACATATAACACATATTTACACATATATAAAGACCCTCAAACCTATAACCCCTATAAGGGCTTGGGACCATTGAAGCAGAATTTCCTCAGAGGCCTCTCAAATAGTCCTTAAGAACCCCACTGACCCTATCTAGATTCACCAAAGGACCCCTGATGGACCTCCAAGATCCACTAAAACTCTAGTTAGATTTTTAGGAAACGGGTCAATGCCTGTATTTGTTGGTAAACCACCAGTAAACCAGAATCAGGTACCATGTACTGAGCTTTGTTGTGACATGTCTGTAACAGTGGAAGACGTACTGTACTGGAAACATGCTGACAGTGTGACATTATAAACTGGGAACCTTATCTTCCAGACGTACAATAAAAGACTTTATTAAAGAAGAGAAACTTCCCACTGGAGGGTGGGTCACATGCAGCTGATAAAACTGTTCACATGCTGATGCTGACAAGATATTCACCACAGAGATTTGTTAGAAACATGTTAAAAATACGTGTAAGATCTGTCTCATGTTTACACCAATGACACAAGTTACCTCCTGCACTGTTTACACTTACAGGTAAGGTTAATACCCTACCTTATATACCATCAAGTATACACAAGAACACTTAAGGCCGCCGTAAATCACATGTGAAGGCTTTCCTCAACACAATAATCCTTTGATCTGACAGTGTGACTGTCAACAGATTCTTATCAGACTTCCTCTCACATTAAAATCACCAACCCCGAAACCCAGAATCCATTAATTACTCCATCTAAAACATTCATCTCCCATAAGAACCTGGAACCAACACAAAGTACCTCTGGAATCCCACCAGAAGACGTTAAAACTCATGGAGTCAATCAAAGATTTCACTGGATCCTCTGAAGACCCTTCTTCTCCTGAACTTCTGAAACCATAAACAATATTTGCAAGTCCTCAAAACCAACTGAAATCCCTCAAGGACTAATCCCAGATATACCTCAAGATTCCCCTCAGGATTCCCGGGAAACCCCTAAAGAACATCTGGGAATGCCTCCAAGAATCCCTGCTCTACAACGTCCTGGTGATGCTTAGAAACTCAACAATAACCAGATGGAAAAGCTTTAAGGAACGTGGAACCTGTGCAAAGTAAGTCTGAAATCCCACCAGGAAAACATACAACCTTGAAGGAACTCAGAGCCCAACTCAAGATTTTGTGGGACTCTTTAAAATCCCCTGGTTTATTCTACTGAGCCCCTGAACAGCCCTTACAGCTGGAACCCAACCAAGGATCTCCAGAAAAGTCCAGAAACTTACCACAACCCTGGAACTCATCTGAGACTCATAAAAACAACAGCAATAAATAACCCTGTGAACCTTTTTAACTACTTGTATTTTAGTATTTCAAATTCAAATCCCACTTTACACTTTACCTTCACTACCACAGTCAGGCCCTTATTCATATTTATACTAATTATATGACGATATTAACGTTGTTTTATTACTGTGCTGTACAATTATACCCGTATATATTTATATATATATCACTGTCTGTATATATGTCCTTATACATATAGTCTGTATTTCCTTTAAATTATACTCATGCTGTACATTTCTGCGTGCCCCAGTCCAGCAGCTGTAGTGGATCCATTAGCTGACTCTGGTTTCCCCTTGAAATTAATGAAACGAGGCGGTGGAAACAGTACCGCTTTTGTACACAGGGGGCACCACCTACCACTCGTAGGGGAACATATTGGAGACTTGTTATGAGTTTTATATGTGTACAGCCACACTATACACTATATATATACTGTATAGAAGTTATCTACTGCAGCTTTAACATGTTGGTGACATGTAATGACTATAATGGTTGTTGATGAGACTTAAAGTTTTCTGTACTTC